GGCGATACACAGGGCGAGAACGCGAGATTACATACCGTTTGTTTGCGTGAATATGCGTTCGTTAAATATTACCTCTCGGACGTTCGCTCGCACGGCCGATCATTAATAATGCCGCGGCAAATCATAGCGTGCAAAAATAATGACCGCCGCGTTACAATGGAGAGCACTCGTATCGATGTCTCTCGCAACCGGCGGCGAATAATAGATGATGCGAGTCAATCGGCTGTGTATCGAGCGTGTGTCGGTATACTTTCAAAACGACTGCCGACAAAAGCGGCTGCCACGAACCGTGAATGGCGACGAGACGCCGAAGTGAAAATACCCCCGCGATCGTCGGACAAAGAGCAGGAATGGCTCGCGCCAATTTCCGTCTTCGTTGAACTCTGCACTTTCCGCGCAGCGGGCAGGGAGAGAGGGACGGACACGCCGAGGTGTCGCGAGGAATTTTCTCGATTTGCATCTGCAACGATTTTCATAAAGGTGCGAGGGAAAAGAAGACGAAGGAAAGAAGACTGACTTCTCCATCGGTCGAGGTGGAGAATACACGGAAATCCCACGAAATTTATAGTCATTTTCGACTATTATCCTCCTTCTGATTTTAACTCAGCTCAGTTCGATAAATATTTTCTCGGGATAAATTCTGATATTCTCAATATTATGAATTTAATATTTGCCGCAATTGTTTTAACACGTACAAGTAAATATCTACTTATGTACAAGAGAAATATTATCATATTGTATACAGTTAATATCTCCACTACTAGTAAATATTTGCCGAGGATTATTGGAGTAACCACTTTACTTGAATCAAATAAATGTTATGTGAACGGTAACACTTCCTTTAGCGTGTAATAAATGAATATTCAAGAAGTTTCTTAAGTATCGTTTGATACTTTAGAACTTGATTTCTGAGATCGTTTTATAAAGAAAAATTTACATGAACATGTGTTCTTTTTATTCTTCATAAAACAACGTAAAAAATTAACTTCTGAAGGACTGAACAGTACTTAAGAAACATTCTACGTATTTATTTATTTGCAGCGACGACGTAATGCATTTGCCGTCTCTGAGTTATTTTTTTCCGTGTAAAGTAATTATCACTAACGCTATGTAGCAACACTTGTCAGAAAAGAATGCTTCTCTTAATTATAATTCTCTTTCGCTTGCACGATTACAATGATAAATGCCGAAAATTAGTTTTTCAGTACACGTGGTCACGTACCGTTCGAGGAAAAATCGCTGATTAGCATTCACCGAGGCTCGCGTGGAAGGAGCGTCGAACGCGATCCTATGAAAACGGTCGCGTGAAACGAACGTTTGCCCGCCGTGCTTCGTTCGATACCGTAAACTTAGCGGAGTTCTTGACACCTCCGTTCCTCAGACCGTTCCGACAGAAACCGAGGCTCGTATTTTACAACAACGCTCGCCGTGTGTTCAAGATTTATTTATTCGAACTGTCTTTCTTTGCCGCCGACATCGGACGAGAAGGTAGAAAACCAGAGAGTAAGACGCGTCAAGATGACAACGTCTTCTTTCGAAATTTCCACTTACACACTGAGGAGGCAATGATTTATTCCGCCGAAATTAATCATCTTCGGCGTCGGCCATATTTTCTTGTCGCACTAACGATCAAGTTGTAGTATCGATATGCGTACAAAGTTATTATCGCTGACAGGATAATAGCGCCTCCTGCAGAAGAACAGGTTTCCCGACCGCAATCATTTCACTATGCAATTACAGTTGCAAATAACACTCTTAAAAAAAAAAAAAAAATAAAAAAAAAAGACGCAAGACGTCGTCGTGCCTCTTCGTCATTTTCTTCGTTCGCGAGTTTTCTCGTTACCACTTTTTCGTCCCTTTCTCCTTCTCCTTTTCAACGTGTTCGCATTTTCACACATCCAACAAACCGTTCACGGCGTATTTCATGATCGAAGTTATACGGTACGCCCGAGGAAATACGAAAAACTTCGTCACCGTGTGTCTCCGTGTGTCACTTCCCGTCGTCGTTTCGCGCTTCGTCGCGGCGCTCCGTACGCTTTCCGCCGGCGGCATGTGAGAGAGAGAGAGAGAGAGGCCTCTTTCCGCCGCGCGGAAAAACGCCGGCGCATTTAATCGTCCGAAACGCGATTAAACGATTCAATGAGAAACACACATTCGTCGAGTTCGTCGGATTCTCCGCCGGGGACAACGCACGCGTGCTTTCCTAATTCCGTTTGCAGCCCGGCCGAGCCGAGTCGCGAACGCATCCGTGACACGTACGCGAGTTGATTGACGCGCGAATACGTGTCCGGCGTTACATGCCGCGCGAACAAGGTTGCGAATGAGCACGTACGAGCGCGACGACGGCGACGACGACGACGACGACGACCGAGCGGCCGATGTGTGCCAAGGCGAGAGAGACACACACGGCGAGGGCAGCTGGAAAAAGTGCAGATTTCACGACTCGCGCGTTATGTACGCGGTGTTCCGTGCAACGATAACGCAACAACGCGATATGTGCGGTAGAGAGTCGATAGTTTACCTCCATTTTGAGCGATCCGCTAATTTACCATCGAGATGGCAATTTTGGGAGTGTAGGGGGCCAAAGTACGGATATATATATTATAGAGCCATTCGAATATCGATATTGTCAATATTAATTCACTGGGAGAAAAATGTTTGATGTTTGTAACTAGAATCATCGTGATGGAAGAATTACAGTCGGGAGGAAATTTTTCTAGTGAGTATTATTACAGTATCAGTGATGGTAACTTTATATGCATGTTACTGCTACTATTTTTGTAGTTAAAACCATAGAGGGTATAGCCGAGGCCGAAAATAACTATAATTTCTCTCGGCGTGTATGTCTGTGGGAGGATATAATACTCGAACGTGTAATAACGTACGCTCAGAATATCATCCGGTCTGTGCATATTGCGGAGAATCTTTACACGTCGGGCGTGTATCCTTTCACAATCCCATTATTTAAATTACAATATTAAATATTTAAATAGAGCGCTACAACATCCGTGCTATCGCGCTCCTCATGTGTAACCGTGTATATTCTGTCGACCATTTGTCACAGCAGCATACTTATTTCGATAAAGATTGTTATTATTATTATTTTATGAAGCCTTTCACCGCTGTTTCTCTCGCGACAAATGCGTAAACGAAACCAACCGCGACAACCAACGGGACCGAAGAGCCAATTTGACTCTGTCTCCCTTAAAGTCTCCGGCTTGAGGTTGAGCGAGCGATATGGTTGATTCGGACGAGCCAGCGGGAGAAAATGGCGCACTGGGATCTTCCGGAAGATCGGAAATAGAAATATGGGCGATATTACAAGGCGAACGCCTTCGTGTTTGAAAGTTAGGTCAGGGTAGGCAAGTGGGCAGGCAGACAAGAAAGCAGGGTAGGTGAGTAAATTCGAGCGAGAGATGCGAAAAATTCGTCGTCGTCGCCGAGACCGTGGATTCAACAAGACTCATCCCCCCCCCCTCTCCCTCTCTCTTTCTCTTTCGTCACGTTCGGCCAAGCGTAAAATGCGATAACGTTATAGATCTCTTCGAGGGGAAATAATGCACAACTTTTGATGGGTGGATCGAGGGAACACGCCCCGCCGCTCGTGCGCGGCGAGATTTATTTATGGCGCTCCGCCGTATCTCTCAAACGATATTTTTCGCTTCGCGTTTATTTTCAGACGTATACACGCGCGCGCGAGTCGCGACGCGACACGATGCTCCGACAGAAACCGAGGCTCGTATTTTACAATAACCGCCAGCCGTGCGTTCGAGAAGCGGATTTATTTATTCAAGTGCAGAGAGCGACCGATAGTCCTCGTCTCCCGATGTAGAAGGAGAGAAATGGGAGGAAGAAGAGTGAGAGAGAGAGAGAGAGAGAGATAAAGAAGGTAGAACGTGTCAAGATGATATCGTTTCTTTAAAAATCCCATTTGTACGAAAAGAAAATAACGCGCGAGACGTCGTCGCGTTTCCGTCATTTTTCCGTTCGCGAGCTTTCGCTCCAGCTTTTTCTCCCTTTTTCTTAACGCGCGCTATAAAAAGAGACACGACGGTCGAAGTAAACTCGAATCGAGTCGCGCGAACTCAATTCCAGGACTGTACAGTGAGAAGAACACATGCCTCATATTTGTGAGTGTAACGCGGTGAAACAATTATAATCGGGAGGATGATTTTTAACAGGAAGCGACAGTGCATTACTGTAGCTGTCGCTGATAACTTTGTCCCTTTTTGGTTTCAGACATTTTTGCCGTTGTAGCACGTCGTAGCGAGGTACGCGCAGCTGCGTGCATGCATCACGAGGTATCGTTGGGTCGCGGCGGCGCCTTCACGTTTATGCACATAACGGACTTACGTAATCGATTCCGCGCCGCGGACGGTAGACGCGTGCGAGCGTTACGCGTCGCCGCCGACGAGACGAAGATAGCGATCGGAGGTGTCGGGCTGAGCTCCCGGCGACTAACTAGCTGCCGGAAACCAACGTCATTAAGCGCGCGCTCGAGTCTCTCTCTCTCTCTCTCTCGAATTTGTTCGACGAGGGGACGTTCATCACACTCGGCCTCCCTTACCAAAAAGTCCAAATTCCTACTCGGCGAGGCGAGCTGGAAAATGGCGACTGACAGGATTCAAAAGTTCACAAATAGCCCTTCGTTCCGGCTAATCGTCTTCAGTCTTCGCGCGATGGGAATTAGTCGTTAGTTAACAGAAAGGGAGAAACGAGATTCCCCGGTCGGTCCCACTTTCAGTCATTGACGTATTTTGTAAAGAATGTATAAGTAAGACTCCCGGGATGCGCAGTCCTTCGGTAAGTAATCGAGGCGAAGCGTTGACAATTAATCGCGAAATGAAGAAAGATTAATAAGTGGGATGAAAAGTGGCTTTCTAATTAATTGAGCAAAACTGAATTTCCCCGGGGGATTGGACTTTAAGAAGACTTATCGCGACTGAAGATCATAAGTGTTTCGAAAGAGGAGTGAGTAGTTGGGAGGCTTCGCGACTCACCTTTGGTTCGGAAGTCTTCATCTTCTTGGCGGGCGGGGGGCTGGCGGCAGTGTCCATGGCCTCTTCGGCCTGGGTGGTCAACGGCGGGCCGGGCACCGCGGCGACCTTGGTCTGCTCCGGCTTGGCGGGCGCACCGGCGGCGGTGGCGCTCGCCGGACTGGGCGGCGGGCAGGGCGCCGCGGCGCTGGTCGCGGGCGGTCCCGGGCCCTGGGAGACGGAAAAACCCGTCCTCGAGCTGGGCGGTGGTCCCTGAGTCTGTTGGGGCGCCGTGGCGGCCGGCGTCGGGCCCTGGGACCACCGCCCAGCTCG